GATAGGTATTATCAATGTCAACCATTTCTCTATCTCTCTATATCCAAGAGATTAGTACAGTGTCTCGTTTCCCATTCATTGCTAACTGCACTCTACAGATCCATCGCCATAGATTATTAATGATCATACAAACTACTTCATGCATAATTATACCCGGAAGCAACGCAGTCACAGAGTCGAACGAAGAGTTTCTACAGAGAAGGAAGAAAAGAAAAAAAAAAAAAAAAGAAAGAAAGAAAGGAGAGATCAGCCCAAGTTGCAGGAGAGAAAGAGAGAGAGAGAGAGAGAGAAAGAGAAAGAGAAAAAGAGAGATAGAAAGAAACTCAAGACAGGCAAGACAATCGCGGACTCACCTTGAGGATTTTGGGGTTGGTGATGGTGATGATCGTAATAATGTTGGTGGTGATGGTGGTGGTGGTGGTGGTGGTGGTGGTGATGATGATTGTGGTTGTGGTTCTGGTTGTGGTTGGCAGGAAGCGGAGGTAACACTGCTACCGCGTGAGGGAACGGAGGTGCACCACCTCTCAAAACAGACCCTGCACCACACACAGGCCACATACGAAATGTTTCTTTACAAAATTTACAATGATACACCGGTTTCACCGTCGGTGATATCATTTTCCTCCTTTCCATTTTCTTTTACTCTTTATTTAAAGAGAGAGAAGAGAGACGTTCAGGGAGAATGGATATGATGGAAAAATCTTAGAAATGTACAATGTATTTATACAACGTTATACAATGAGATTTGTACAATTTATTCGAAAGAATTAAAAAAAAAAAAAGAGAGAGAGAGAGAAAAGAGGAAAGAAATAAACTTCGACTTCCTTTATGAACTTATGAAGGAAGACGATTCCTAGAGTGAGTACCGCGAGTGTAACAGATCGCGAAAAATTGGGTCGAAGTTATTATACTATAAATATTTATGTATGCGTGTATGCGTGAATAATGCCCCTGCGTAAAGAAGCGAGTCTCTGTGAGAAAAAGCTTTAAGCGATAAATGTACTGAAAGCGATTGGAACTCCCGGGATAGAAGAAGCGGCTATAAAGCACGTTTACCTATATACGTTTTATCGGCGCAACGCTCGGCTAAACGGTAAATAAATAATGTTACCGGAAAGGATAAAAAAAAAAAAAAAGTGTACGTATATATAACTATAATATATGTAATATTATGTACTACAGTTTAAATTGCACGGAATTCTTTGATCTTAACTACCATACGATAGAAAGAAAAATGAAGATGAGTGGCCATGGGACATACGCTTTTTCTTTTCAACGTTAAAATCTAATCGTGACCCGACAGTGAAACGAATGATTCGAAGGAGTAAACGGATTACGACTGTGTGTAACGGCAAACTGTAATGAGAAAATATTTCAGTTACTTCAATATTAAACGAGAGAGAGAGAGAAAAAAAAGGGGGGAAAGAAGAAAATTAAAAAAAATAAAAAATAAATAAATAAATAAATAAAATGAAAAAATAGATAGTTACTCGAAGGATATTCATATATAGTCATCAAGAGACGTATATACAACAAATATCACACGTTTCCAAAACGAATCATTCTCGTTTAACTAACTACAAAAAATATATAACGATACGTCACACACTACTGGAAAAAAAAAAAAAAAAAAAAGATTTCTTTTTTTATACGATCACTTTTGCGATTATAACAGAGAAAAAAAGGAAAACAGAGACTCATTGAAACAATCGTACCACGAAACGTATTTCACGCAATTCAATTACTGTGTCAATCACATACACGATATATACGTATCATCAACAACGATAACGTTTTAATTTAAAAGAAAAAAAAAAAGGTATAAGTAATAAGTAAAAGATAAAAAAAAAGAAATTAAAAAAAAAATAAAAAAGGCAATTTTATCTTGTTGGACCACTCCAGATTCTTTCTTTGGTTCTACCTTCTAAACTACGGTCTACGGAGCGGGCAAAAAAAGGGAACAAGAGGAATAATGAGCACGAGCTTGTGGAATTATTTGATCTCTTTTGGTTCAAGTTTACGTACCTTGCATAGCGGAGTGCCGTCTTTGAGGTGGCGGTGGACTACCACCAGCTTCTACGCTGCTTCCGCTGTGGCTGTCCAGTTGCGTACTGTGACCACTGTCACTGCTCGTCACCGAACCTACGCACACGTCCCCAAGACACTTCTATCACTACACATTCTAACCCAGTTCTCGCCCTGATGCGCCCGCTAACTGCTAATTATCTAACAAATATTAATCGCGTTCATCAGACGCATGGTAATCCGCAACACTCTCTCTTTCTGTCTCTTTCTCTCACTCTCGTTCTCTCATTTGAAAAATCAGAGCCACAACAAACACGCCAGTAACGCCTACGAAAATGTAGCGATTAAAAGTCGCGCTCGCACAGCGTTTGTTTTTCGATGCACGCCTACCAGAGATCGTCTTTCTGTAAACGATTATTTTATTATAACTACTTCTAATAATAAAATGAGTTACGTGTTATATCGAAGAAAAAAGTATTGAAATTGAAAAAAAAAAAAAATTATATATATATATATTAGTGTCCTGAAAAATGAGATTTCATCAAAAGGGTGATTCCCAGGAGCGATAATTATTTCCTATAATTAAATTAATATTTGAACTGAGAAAAGTATTAAGAAAATTTATAAAAATTGAAATTACTATCTATTTAAATTGTTGATAAAAAGTGATTAGAAAGAAAACATAAACAAGACTATAGCAATAAGATTAAATTACTGAAGGATGATTCACGCGTCCGTATGTCCCATGGTGAGTATTTCTAAATTGAAGCTAGACGTGCTTCGCCCTGGGAACAGGACCGTGATGTGTATAACACGGGACGATAATATTGATTGAAAAAAAGCGCGAGCTACGGTAATCGACGTACAAGATGCGTGTAAAATGGATAAGCTAAATATAAACATGGAACATTTATGAATTGCGTAAACGGCTGTGCAGCGTGCATATAAAATGAGATAGTTTCTTAGAATTTGCGAGACCTGACCAGTGTGTACGGTCACGAGCAATGAAAGGTGCATTTAATGGTACTTCACGAGATGTGTCTGCTCTTTCGTGTGTCGCAATAAAACAACGTTCAAAAGAAAAATAAAAAGAAGCACCGTGTGATTTATCGATCTAAAGCTAGCAAAATGTATAGAGACACAGAAAAAAAACTTGACACTATAAAGTATTCACGTGTACATGTGTGTATGTATGTATAATGTATATCAAACGGTGATTGACAGCATCTCGTTTCGAACCATTTCATGTGTCGAAATTAATCAACTTACCACTGGTCAACGTTTTTCTTAATGGCTGAAGATTGCTCAGGCTGGTTACGCTACTACTTTCAGCACTGAGATCGACAGGTGGTGGTAAACTGGAAGGAGTATCGCTATGGGATCTCTCATGCATAGGAACTCGGCTACCAGATCCTACTCTCCTAGGTGCACCGGGACTAGGCTCCAGTCCGCTGGAATGTAATGCCAATCCCGGCACTGGAAGCGGCGGTGGACAGTGTTTTGGTTGATAGGGACGAGTTTTATGGGGATCGGAAAGCGCCAACATTTTTCGTACTGCTTGTGGCGATGCTGCTCCGAACTTTGTACCTAAAATTATAATGTAATTAATACTTATCACTTTATACAACTTAAGTCAAGTTTCAACAAATAAAATCTTACCTTGTATACTCTTTCTACCTTCGCTAGTGCTGCTGGCACTGCTTGTTGTCGATAGAGTAGGAGAAGGATGTCTCCTCCCTCTGCTCGCATTAAGAGGTACTGCAGTTACTGCGGCAGCTCCCGCGTGAGGTTCACATTCCACAGATAAAGCGTGTAACCGCTCCTCGTCAGTTATTACTTTCATATTGGCAAGGTATGCTTTTACTCTTCGAACCATCTGTGCTTCTTCAAACATTTTTTTCGGATTCGGTGCAGCGGTAGATTTTTTTCGTCTTTTCACCGTAGCTGTCTGTCCTCCTGGACATTGTAACACTGTTAGTAAAAATGAATTATCATATATCTGGTTCTATTTTTATATAATTGAATTAAATTACCTTGATTGCCAGTTGTCATTTGATTTAACGCAACCATTGCAGAACTAGGTGGTTGGCCACCTCTTTCTAACATTATCGATAAATCATATGGCGAAGAACACATATTCGTTAATGTTCTTACTTCTTTTGCGATCATCCTCAGCTTTTCGAAATTCACCAAACCTTCCACTCTAGAATCGTTACCAAGATGTATAAATGTTAAATCTTTCTTCACTACTGGATAAAATGGAATCTAAAAAGAAAAAAAAATATTCCACGTTATTTCATTATTTACCAAGTAATTGAATAATAAGATAATTAAAATATGAGAGATAAAAAGAAACTTACTATGGGAGGTTGCGTTTGTTCAGATGCTACCAATTGTCGATATTTACTCATATTACGGCTAGGATCCATTAATTCTTGAAGATCACTAAATAGCCTTTGATATTTACTTGGCAGTTTTTCCCAAGAAGCTCTTAATCTGGATACAGCTCCATGACCCAAACCAGATACAATTGCAAACATAGAATTGAAATTTTTACATTCTTTACACTGCCCTGTTTGTAATAAATAAGAAAATGTTGAAAAACTTATATAATATAAATATTTCAATCGATGATTGTAAATGCTAAAAAACTTACTTGCTATTTTTATAAATTGTTTTATTATTTTACTACGTCGAACGAGATTGTGTTCAGAACAAACTTCTGTCACAACCCAAAACATTTCTCTGTTGACTAGTTCTGCAAATTGCCTGAGCATTGGCACTCCATATCTACTCTTTAATTCGAACAAATCATCCACGTATTCCGTAGATTCAATTTGCCTAATAATAAGATATAAATATATTTTCATTATGTAAAAAATAAATTACAAAAAAATGAATAATATCATTAACTTACCTGAATATACTGAAATCTTGTAGAGTCAGTTGAATTGCAACTTCAACTGCATTTAATTGTAAGAAATGAACCTGAGATTCGCGTATGAGTTCTGGCGCTTGTTCGTCTGCTACAAAAGTCTCCGAAATACCATTAGTTTTTAAATAATATCGAGAACTTAAACCAATTCGTTCCGCAAGATTTTGCAATTGGTCAGGTAACCTGCGTTGTTTGATCATACCTCCTTCTCCAACACTAACTTCAGCTAAAGAAAAATTCGAACTACCTTCAGTTATACCAAATTCTTGAAGAGCAAGCATTACCACCTAAAATTATCTTATATTAGCACATGAATAGAAAACTTTAATATATTTCCTAGATTAAAATATTTACCTCGTGTGCCGTTGTTTCTTTGTGAATAAGAAGATATTTACAAGTTTGATCAGCTTTATAAACTTTTAGAACATGTTCTGGATAATCAGGTGCCCTTAAGTCATCATAGCAATACAATGACGTAAGATCAGGATTACTTTTTGAGTGATAAAGATTAGTAGTTTGTGCAAGTCCTCCTGTTCCTGGTGGTGTATGAGGAGGTGCAAGAGGATCATCTACATGTACACCATCACTGTAAATGAATTATTTATTATATACATCCTTGAAATTTTTCCTTAAAATATTTTTTTTAAATTAAAAGAAAAAAGAGAAAGAGAAAAATATATATTTTCAGCTTACTTAATAGTATTCTTTGGCAGTATATTCATTTTTATGAGAGCTTTTTGTAATTTCTTTTTGGGTCCAAGCGTCATGAATCCTTTATGTTCCTTTTTAGCGTCTTTACAAGGAGAAACGTTAGAATCAGGAATTAATAATGGTACACCACCCACCAAAGGATTCAATGGATTTACTGGAGTTACTGTATCCACATGCGTAGACAACCTCGCACGTGGATCTGATTGTAATCTTGAAATTTCGGATTTGTTTGCTCTTCCCCGCGGTCTTGGCGAATCATCTGGCATCTGAAGCATTTCTTTAAACGCTACAACAGTAATTCATTGCTCGTATAAAAAAAATATAATCCATAAGTTATTATTTCTAGAAGATGCCACATACCAAGTAAATTTGATTTAACAGTTATACTGAGATGAGTAGATCCCCTTAAAATTTCAAGAGCTCTGGCATGATTCACGTGTTCAAAACTTTGTCCATTTACTTCTAAAATTTGATCACCACGTTTCAAACCAACATCTTCAGCCTTTGACTTTTTATCTACTTTTGAAATAAAAATACCGAAACCCCTTTCATACCCCCCCAAAATACTAAAATGTAAGACTTCATCCCTAGTTGGTCTTGCTAATGTTACATTCCGCGTTCTCGCTTTTGCTGCACACGCAATATTTAATAATCTAAAATTTATTGACAAATTGTAAGTAAATGATATAAATACTTACTAATTATACAAAAAAACATAAATTCAGATTAAAATATACCTTTGTTGTCCTTGCATTTTTTCTCTTTCTAATCCAGCTTCAAATGCTTCCAGAAATTCCATCATAGCTGGATCAGTTTCAAAATCAGTGAAATGATTATTTACCCAAAGAAGTACTACACGGGCAACTCTATCTCTGACTTGTGCTTGATCAAACCATTCTAACAATTGACTTGCAACTAACAAGGGACTATCAATAAATGTTCGATGGGTTAATAAGAAATCTTCTATATAAGTAGGATCAGTAATACTGTTTTCTTCGATAAGTTGTAACATTAAACGTTCAGGAGTTCCGCGAATAACTACATGACCCCTGCGTGCTCCGCCATCTAAAGCACCTCTTAACTCTGTTACTAGAATTACTCTCCCATTTTCTTCATGCCGCCTTGTATTTTCTTCTCCTTGATGTTGAATTCTGAAATAATCTGCCTGAGTAACACATACGAACTGACAGTCATCACATCTAAAAAAGTAAATAAATAAATTATGTTAATTAAGTTTTTATTTCATGAATATTAGTAATAATATATATTTAATATAAAACTTACTTTGTTCTCATAACACCTCTATGCAAAAGTCTTTCCATAGTGGGCAAAATTCCAAAACTGTCACCAAGGTGCAGTTGTTCAATTTCTCCATTGCTATGCTCAATTTCCACAGCACCATTTATAAGCACACTCCAACTATCTAATTCTTCTCCATCATTCAAAACTATCATACCAGCACGTTCAACTACAGCAAACACCATCACAGCGCACAGCGCTCTTCTTACTGCCAAAGTCATATTTGTAAAGGCCTTTAATTGTTGTGTGAATTCTAAGAGGGTTTCTATATCATCTTCTGTCCTTTCCATAGGATCTTTTTCTAAACATTCTCTGACAGGATCACGGACAGTCAAGCTCTATAAATAAAAAGTAATTTGTTATTTTTATTTATTAAATATTTTAGTATTTAAAAAGTTGTTTAAAAAAAATCAATTACATCCATGCTTTCTGCAAGATCTTCTTCTTCATCACTATCCACTATAGATTCAACAAGTCCTGATAGATCAACATCATCTGCATCTGGATCTGCATCTAATGATCCTTGTACAGATGTCATAGTGTCTGAACCACTATATGCTGAACTTGTGTCACTCGAATGGCTGCTTCTGTTGGACTTTTGGTATAACTCTGGCCTGCCTGTCAGGCCTTGAGAAAACTAGAATACAAGAAAAGAAAATCCAATTAATTATTATATTATATTGATTATATAATTATATTATATTTTAATCCATATTGCACATTTTTTTATCAATAATTAATATAAAAATATTTTGATAATAATCTATGCAATTAATCTATATATTATATAATTATATCTTGTATAATTTAACATTGACATACATCGTGATATTTTTGCATTAATTAAAAATGATCAATATATTCGCTTTGTTATTACTACACTATCAAATATCTAAACTAAAGTGTTTACATTAATGTTCATGCCAGACGATTTTAAATCCAAAGCAATACATTCTTTATCACAATGTATCGGCATAATCACAGATTATAAACAATAGCATAGTGCAATTCAAAATAAAATTATCAATGCACTGTTCCGTTTAATTCTCATACAAAAGAAACCTACGTGAATAACGTGCAATCTATCATCCCCAGACATCGATCTGTCAATTGGTAGGAAGAGGCTGCAAAGAACGGGATCAAGAAACATGTAAGACAAAAACATGGGTACTACGAGCGGTGCTCGTTTACGGAATAATACCAGGAATGGGCGTGATGGGGACAAGCTCTGTTCTTAAGTTAGGTTAGGTTGCCAGACATGACATCACGCACGCAACATCGAGCGATCAGAGAAAACACACACAACAAGAAAGAGATAGAAATAGTGGCACGTATGTCTAAACAAAAACATCGTGACATCTGTCATCCCACAATAACCATCAACGATCATCTATGATCTTTCATAATAATGAATTGTTCGTAAGAAATCTTAAGAACGAGGAAAATATCGTGATAAACCAAGGCCATTTTGAGCCGCGGGAGATCATCAGACTCACTTGGTACATGCCGAAGGCGTCCATCCTATCGTCTTAATAATGGCACTTGTTCGACACTCTATTCTTCCGTGTTTTAGATCACGAGAAATAATATAAAGAACAACCACTATCCGACCACATTCTCTTTTCGTTACTTGTCCACGACTCGATCGAACTCGCGAAACCCACTCTCATTCGCGAGCGCATATGCCAATGTATATACACGCAACGCGATGTGACCTTCTTTGTGTGCATTTACGAAGCTCGTGGCGCGTTTGGTGTGCCCCGTGTCGTGGGCCGTCAGCTTAGCAAAGTAGCGGACATGGGACTGCCTCTTGTCCCTCCCCCACCCTTCATCCTACCACCGGCATTCCCTTCGAAAGTATAGGGTCACGTGACCCAACTGAGCGGCAAACTCCAGGCCCGTCGCAATAGGAGGGCGCACATTGGGGGGCCCACCTGTAGCTTCTGACCGTGACACTAACAAAACACTGCTATTGATAACGCGTTGAAAATGTCCTCGAGAAGATTTTTCGTTTCAGCCTACTTGCATCTCATTAATAATCATTTATTACTACATACTATTTCTATATCCAAACTTCTACATCATTCAACACTTCATTTTGTATTTCTGAAATAGCAAACGTATTGTTTAACGTATTGGAAATAGTTTTTAATTATTGAATTGATTTATAAATTCTTTCATTTAAATTTAAAGAAAACAATAATTATGAAAAATATATTTTTAAAACATATTTTTATGCACATTGTATTCAGATGAAATCTTACACATAAAACGATTCTTCGTAAATAATTAATCATGTATAAATAAGGACAATCAAACATCGATCACACTAAAAATGTTATCATTTTGTATGAAGAAATTATTACATAGCAATTTAACATTATATAAAATTTTCGTGCGTGTATTTGAACTTGCGATGAGACGTAACGTGAGGTTTCATAAAAATCGCTCGTGTGAAACGAGCTTAAGGAGTCGACGGTCGGTCAATCGTCAGTCGGTAAGCGATTGAGAGAGAAAGAGGATACTCGGAGAAAAGAGTACCGGTCTGCTCAAAGCATCCAATACAGCGGATAGTAACTTAAAGGCCACTGGCCGACCCGACGGATGATTTATACGACCCGTTATGTCGTGCCCATGTCTCACTTTTCCTTTTGTCCTGCTCCACAGACTTTCCAAATTGCTTCTCTCATTCAGTTTCTTCCTACTCAACCGAACAGACATTGACATACCAGTGCATGCCACCGATGTGCATTCCACAGACTCTTTAGGGGAAAGACAGTCTAATGTAGATCATCTTACGCGCACGCGTCGTACCTTAACGAACTTTCGATCCGGGAGCGCCACATTGGAAAATTTTAGCAAGGGAAAGCGCAAGTATGATATACTTTTTTTTATCCGAAATTTATAATTAATTTACTTGATATAACATTGAAAGAACGTTAAGAAAAATTATATATAATAAAATTATATATTTATATCTTGGTAATAATAGTATATTAGATAGTGTTATAAATAATAATAGTATACTTTGTATACTAATTTAAGGGTATTCATTTTTAGAGACTCCAATACAATATAGTTATAAATTATTATAAATTATTTAAGGAGCTAATTAAAATAATTATAATATTTATAACTTTTAATGGTATATTAGAAAAAATTATAACAACCATATATTATTCTAAAATTAGAAGGCGCTATTTTTCTATAATATTAAAAGGATGAAAGATGCTTTTATTTCATTTTGGTATAGACGAATATAAAATAGAATAATATTACATATTTTCAGAAAAAAATCGAATTTTTTTTTAAATACAATACGGAAATTTTCCAACAAAAAATCTTCTTTCAATGATCGCTATTTATTCTTCGTGATTTTCACTGTATAAGCATCAATGCAAATAAAAAAATTTACAAACTGATAAAAGTTTTCTTTACAGGGAGAGGGAGAGAGAAAAGATACGCATTTGAAATGCATGAGAAAACATATACAATGAGAATAAAAAACGATTGTTTTAAAAGTTTTATCACCAACCAACTTCCAACTTGATCTCGCCATTTTTTTCATTTTTTTAATATTTATTTTTCCTTTTTTTTTTTTTTTTTGATTAAAGAAAATATGTGTAAGCATACGCATCATGGATGACGATATTAAACTTTCTTTCAACGATTTGAACTATGACGTGAGATAAATGAACCGTTGCGAGAGAAATGATCAGAAATCATGTGCAAAAGTGCACATGACTTGATTTATCGATAGATACCTGCCAACTCTGACGGATCGCGTCTAATATGAATGCACTTTGTTATCAATTGTACTATATTCAAACGAGATATATAACTATCTATGCAAAAATTTAATTTTTAAAGATTAACAATTTATTGAAATATAATGAAGTAGAGTTATCAGTAATAGAGGTATCAGTAATAGAGATATTCTGAATTTTATCAGAATTTTTGAAAGCCTAGAATTTAGGAAAAATTCGAAGTGGATAATGGGACCAAGATATTTTGACAATAGAGAGAGACAAAGAAGTAAAATTTAAGAATAAAGCAAGTTATTCCAGCATTACAATAAATTTTTTATGGATATATTAAAATGTCATTTTATATTGCAGCAATATTAAAAAAAATTTAACGCATTAGCACTTGAAAAAACCAATTAGCCTAAAAGTATTTATTTCAAGAATTTATATGCATAATGCTTGAAGTATATGAAAAAATTCAGATCAAAAAAGAATTATCTACGTGAATGCGTTCTTAAAATCTGTGAAAGAATGCTCTTACAATTTTTATCTGCAGAAAAAAAAGAGAAAGGTTCGAAAACAGATGTTTACCGTGTCATCGAAGACCAAATTGACCTGTCGATGGTCAGTTATGGGATGAGGGTGCGGTGGTCGATGCATCCTTCCTCCGTGCAGTTCCGGGTAGTCGATCTGCAAAGGAACAAGAATAATCAGAAAAATAAAAAAAATAAAAGAGCAATTACAATTAAATTTTTATATCTGCTATCTCTGCAATAATATATACATTTACATAATATTTGTACATAAATATCCTATTGAAAAATACCAGGATAAATCTTACAAATTTATTCCAGAAAATTTAACTTAAGAGGAATAAAAAATATTTCGTTTCGATCACAAAGGGGTAAATCCTCATCGAAAAGGACGAAGAAAGAAAATAGACAAAAATATATTATTGAAGATCAGAAACTATCTCACAGACATCTAACACACACACACACATATACACACATTTTCCACAGTAATCTGCAATCAACATTCATCAAACTAACATTTCGCTCTAAATTCGACGGAACTCGAGCGCGGAACCCGAATTCTCACCGAGGTGAAGAGAGGCAAGAGAGGGGAAGAGAAGCGTGTTTCAAATTTCTCGAATGACGAGCAACTCGGCCGCAAGAGCAGCCGTATCGTCCCCAGGAACGACACCGTGGCGTTGATAATCTAATCCGGTTCCACCTGCGACTTGTGCAGCTGCGTCAACTTCTCACCCCCTCTCATTGCACGGAGCCTCGTGCCTCTCTTTTTCCGTCAACAGCGTCTCGTTGTTCAATGATGCGCACGAAAAAAAAAAAATAGCAAAAAAAGGAGAACGAAAAGTGTGTGTGTGAGAGAGAGAGAGAGAAAGAGAGGAGGGATAAAAAGAAAGGGAAAAAAAAAACGCAGAGAGACAACGAGATGAGCGTGCCTCGGGGCCGGAACCCGTAGGCCGGACTTCCGGTAGATACGCCGATTATACTTGCCATTCACAGAACCGCTCCCTCGCGACTCGATTGTTAGAGGCGAGCAGCATTTAACCAATTTCGGGATGAAAGTTGAATTTCCACCGGTCGACGATACGGTGATTCGATTGGGAACAGCCGATGCGAAACGCGTTGTGCACGTTGCGAAAAATATTGTTCGACACGCCGGAAATTAACGAAACGCCTTCCCTACTACTCGCTCGAAAATATCACGTAGGTACTATCTGTATTTACAGCCGTTACGCGTTAATACATACTCGTATATCGTAACGCTTGACGCGTTGTTTCCAGTGATTTGTAACTTTTAATTGGTTTCTCCTGTGACGTGTAATAATCGTTATGGAAAATTATTTTACAGAAGTTTTATGGATGAATATTTTTATGTATATTGGATATTTCACGCGGATGGATGGATTATATGGCTCTAAAGGGGTTACGTGGAAAAAAAAAAATAAAATAAAATAAAATAAAATAAAAATAAATGATTCTGAACAACTCGCGATACCTTCGAAAGATTATAAGTTTGCACATTATACTGGGCAACATTTTCTTTTAGATGTTAACGATATTTTAAAGATTCCAATTACGCGAAAGATTCTGTATACTATGTATAACGTTATTGCATATTAAAATCGAGATTACACGGTAAAATTTTCCTCTTTTTTCCCGAGATATCGGTGCCTTCTGAAAAAAAAAAAAAGAAGAAGAACCGATATGTTTTCGCTTAGGAAATAATTGGTTAAATGAATTTAATTGTATCACGTATAAATACAGATACAATTTTAACAGAATTCGAAAAATATTCCAGTACTGGGATATTATTATAGATAATTTTGAAATCACGTTCACATCCCAAAAGGATGTGTAACGTAATATCAATTATTCAACCTGCTAATTAAGTCGGATATAGCAGAAATCTGGATAGTTGTTACGAAATGACTCGTCTATAGCCATGTTTAAAACTAACATGGAAAATCTACATCATCTAATTTATATTAAAACTTGTTTCGCTTGGAATAACATCTCGATTCCTATACAGGATCTTCCAAGATAGCAGGGCACGTATGTTAATTATCGATTATTCGAGGTAACCAGTACCTTATAACCGATCTTCTTCGAGCCTATTTCCCTTCTGAAATCACATCTCGCAGGTATATGGAAAATCATGAAAGTGAAAGTATAAGGATTAATCCAATCATCGATCACGAAGAAGAATTAAAAAGGAATGGATCATTTTTCCTTTTAGTTATCAAAACAATTACATACAATGCAACATGTTTATTGCGTTTATGAATATTTATCTAATTGTGAATATTTATGAAGCACATCGTTACATCGTAATTTTCATATATTTATATTTTCAATGTCGATATGTACTTTTTTTATATCATGCTAGTTCACGCTGTGCAATATGTTCATTACAATATTCACGTATGAATAATAATATTTTCTTTGACAAGTACCGCTTTGACGAAAGAAAAAATTTTATTAGGCGAATAAAGTATTTTTTAACATGCTATTTAGACGTTTGAAGGAATTTGACACGAACATTATTTAAAAAAATATTCATATGTAATTATTTTTGTTATGTTATGAGTTTTGAATACTATTGACATAAAACGTTGTCATAGATGACATATAATTTATTATAATGATCAGTTGAACAGAATAATTTGCATTCTCTACACAATGTCAATATTAAACATATATTTAAATTATTTCATTTCATCATCGTATAAAATTAATTCTCACAATCTTGGAATAAAGATCTTCTTGAATAAAACCAATGAATTAATATTTTCCACCAACCAATCATCATTTGCCATTTCCAAAATGAATAATTTAATTTAATTCATCCACTTTTAGTTTTCAAAAAACTGGAGAGGAAAATATTTATGGATCGGTAAACCGTTGCAAAATAATTTCACCATCGAGGCCCAAAAACATTGACCCGATGAAACGAGTGTTTCGCAGTGTCACGGGCAACAATTGCCAAACCTCCTCGTCGAGGTTTCTCCACGTTTGACGAGGAATGACAAACATCGCTGCGACTCGACTCGATTGTTTATAATTCGTGGATTACGTAACGAGAAAGCGCGTGCACATTTTCTGCATCGGTTGCTTGCGTCACGCGTCACAATTCGTGGCTCTCCACCTCGCGAAAAACTCATTTGCGATCCGAGCAAACAGAGCATGGCGCGTGATCTATTTCGTTTCCCTTTTGCGCATTTGTTTACGATGTTCGAACGATGATGGCTCATTGAGAAATCGGTTTCGAGATGTATCGCTTCGCTTGTAAACCGAGCCTTTGCGGTTCTATAAACACGAGATGAGTTTCCCTATGTGTGTGTTAAATAGGTAATGATTTTTGCAAAAAAAAAAAAAAAAGAAAAATGAAATGGCAACGATACTAATTGATTTTGATAACGAGAGAATGAAAATTGAATAAAGGAATCGATTAATGATTGACCTTTAGAAGACAAAGGCTTGGAGATTTAATTATACAATAGAAAAATAGAAAAAAATATATTTAATTTAATTTTTCCACGCCAATCCTGAGATTAAAAGCAACGATAATTTTTTTTTTTTAAATTTCCTAAGTGAATTGAAACAATTTAATTGGCCTATCTTAAAAAAAAAAGGTAAGAAGAGAAGAAGATTATAATTATATAAATTAATGTTATCAATTTTTAGGTAGAAATGGAAGATTCTCATAAATGATAAATGGTATCAATTAATGATAAATATTGAGTTGATATAGAAGATTTGTTAAAAAGAGAATTTGTGTAAAATATCGAATAAGCTAATCTATTATTGTGTATCAACAGTACTTCGTATTATTCCATCGATAATCGATGCACCCGACAGTTATAAGTGTAATGGTAATTCATTTAATGCTCGAATATTCCAAACCCGCACAATCTCATTAAGTGTAACATAATTTGAAAATTCCACCCACTAATCGACGAATTATAAATGTACTTTAAAGTACTCGCAACCACTGCTCCATTCATTTAACTCAATATCAAACGATCAGTTTTCAAACGAGTTTCATGAAACTGATCCTCGAGTACGCCTACGAGTGTGATATTAATCATTCGATTGTCAAATCTTTCTGAGCCTTGTAAATCAAGAATTTTCAGCTTATCGACTTTGCTAATTGAGTTTATCTTTATGATAACTTATCGTATTTATAATTCGATATCGTGATTAATATTTAAAATATCATTGATTAGTGAAATCTTAAAGAAAAAGTTTATCGATAAAAGTCGAGCCTATTTCATAAAAGATCAAAGAAATTTATTTATCGAGAAACCAACATATCGAGTGTATCGTTTCAAATTAAACATTTATGTTTATATTTTATAATTTTTCTTATCGTTTGTCATCGCCTTACATATTATTTTCCAACATATAGGCACCAATATTTGGAACTCATTTCATAATCAAAACAGTATGGAATTCAAACGAAATCGAACATGTAAAAAATAATGCGTGAATTTATTTAAAAAACGAGAAGAAAAAGTAAAAATTTCCACGTATATTACATGTTTGTTGCAACCATACCACGACTCGTAATGATTACGTTTAGAAAATTTTAATAGAAATCAATAATAATAACAGAGAATACAAAATTCGCCGATTTTTCATCAAAATTATCATCAAAATCACAAAATCGCATGGCATAATTTTCAAACCAAGTGCCTTCCAAGTAACCCCCCTCTTCTTTGCATTATTCAATATTTCATGGCGCGTAATCAAATCTTTTCATCTAAATGAAAAACCGACTGACAGATCTCAGGTAAACACGATCTCCGTGCGAAAAGTTCATCCCCTTTCCGGCAATTACGCGGCGCGTCTTCTCACATTCCTTCCCCTTTATCTTCCGCCTCGTCCTCGTTATACATATATTCGAGCTCTGCGTGGGCCCTTCGGCTCCGCGTGGGCGGACGCATACACGCGCGCGTGCAGACGCGGCCGCGCGATAAAACCGATGTTTCTGCCTTGAACGGGATACGACGCTCAACCCGTTTCCATTTCGTTTTCAATAAACCCCGCTTAACCCCGCTCCACCTATCGACTCACTTTCGATCAGGGCAATCGTACTTTTCCATCGATGGAAAAACATCTCGTTGAATTAGTCGAATATATTACACGTTGACCTCCTCT